AGGTGGCAGTCCTCGAGATGATGCTGAAGGCGGTTCGCGAGGGGGGCAGCGGGGACAAGGTGGTGCTGGTGTCCAACTACACCGAGGCGCTGGACGTGCTGGAGGTGGTGAGATGGGGGGGGGACTGGGAGTTGGGGTTGGCGGAGGGAAGGGGGGGCCGGGAGTCAAAGGAAGGGGAAGTTAAGGAAGGCAGGGGATGGGGGAATGGGGACATGTGTGTTTTATGCTTGCTCTAGGAATGTACGGTGTACGTGTACTGGGCATACAGACAGTAAAGAGTGTCTGGCGAGCACTGGGCCAATGTTGGGGGACTGTGGGGGGTGCCACTGCCACTGCCACTGCCACTGCCACTGCCACTGCCACTGCCACTGCCACTGCCACTGCCACTGCCACTGCCACTGCCACTGCCACTGCCACTGCCACTGCCACTGCCACTGCCACTGCCACTGCCACTGCCACTGCCACTGCCACTGCCACTGCCACTGCCACTGCCACTGCCACTGCCACTGCCACTGCCACTGCCACTGCCACTGCCACTGCCACTGCCACTGCCACTGCCACTGCCACTGCCACTGCCACTGCCACTGCCACTGCCACTGCCACTGCCACTGCCACTGCCACTGCCACTGCCACTGCCACTGCCACTGCCACTGCCACTGCCACTGCCACTGCCACTGCCACTGCCACTGCCACTGCCACTGCCACTGCCACTGCCACTGCCACTGCCACTGCCACTGCCACTGCCACTGCCACTGCCACTGCCACTGCCACTGCCACTGCCACTGCCACTGCCACTGCCACTGCCACTGCCACTGCCACTGCCACTGCCACTGCCACTGCCACTGCCACTGCCACTGCCACTGCCACTGCCACTGCCACTGCCACTGCCACTGCCACTGCCACTGCCACTGCCACTGCCACTGCCACTGCCACTGCCACTGCCACTGCCACTGCCACTGCCACTGCCACTGCCACTGCCACTGCCACTGCCACTGCCACTGCCACTGCCACTGCCACTGCCACCTTCCCCCCAAACCCCACCAGGTCAACTGTCCCGCCGCCATCATTCCCCGCAGATGTGCCGTACTCACGGCTGGGTGAGTTTGCGCCTTGACGGCAGCTGCTCAGTCAAGTCCCGGCAGCCCATCGTGGACACCTTCAACGACCCGTCCCACCCGTCCTTTCTGCTGCTGCTCTCCTCCAAGGCCGGGGGAGTGGGACTGAACATCATCGGCGCCAACAGGCTGGTGCTGTTCGACCCGGGTAGGGAAAGGGGGCGGGGGGGAGACTGAAGACTGGGGGGGCCTCACGCGACGGTATGGATCGGCGGCAGGTGGGAGGGCGGCAAGTGGTGTGTGACCACTGGGAGGGGGGAGGGGGGTATGGGAGGGAGGAGGGGAGGGGAGGGGAGGAGGGTTAGGGGAGGGTAGGGGGCAGGGAAGGGGCAGGGGAGGGGGAGGGGAGGGGGAGGGGAGGGGGAGGGGAGGGGGAGGGGAGGGTGAGGAGAGGGGGAGGGGAGGTG